CCAATAAAAGAATTAAAAAAAAAAAAAAGATTTTTGCTACAAGCTTAGCATAAGCCCCTTCCCTCAGCAGCATCTGTGCAGTGAAAACAGTGAGAAAATACACAAACCTCTTTCTCCTCAACAGCAAGACAACTCATCATGAAACTAAGGGGTTTTTTTCTAAGTTTTGATCTTTATCAACCTACATGTCAGAAGATGTAATTTTATGCATTTTGAGACAAATTACTACACTAAAGCAGCAAAAGGTACAGTTTAACAATGACTATTAAGTTTTGGCTGGTTTAGTTCTTATGAACAAAATTGATTGGGCATATTTCTTGGTTAGAATCTCAGCTCTGCCACATTTTAGCTCCATGGAAAGCTGTGTAGCCATAACTCAGTTTACTCATGTAAAATGGGCATAGTAAAATCTATCCTGTAGGGTTGCTGCAAGCATTAAATCTTGTTCTACACACATATATAACAAGAATACTGCCTGGTATATAATCATAACTCAATAAATGTTAGGTAAATGCTAGAGAAGGATTCAATTTTTAAAAACTTTTGTTCTAATAGATCTTGAAGTCTATCCGGCACTATCCACAGAACTTTTCATGATGAGGAAACTGTTGTACACTAGCTACCAGCCACATGTGGCCATTGAGCACTTGGAATGTGGCTTTTGTAACAGGGAAACTGAACAGTCACTTTCTCCTGATGTTTTCTTTTGCCCTAATTGGCAGCCTCTTCTTCATCTCCTTGGTTAGTGTCATCTTTTCTATTCATCCTTTTAGATTTTAAATTCCTTAGGACACTGCCCTCAGCCTCTGCTTCACATGCATTTTTTTCCTCTTTTAACAGAAAAAACATAGATCTAAGACAATCCCCGCCATAGATTGTGGTATATGCACAACCAACTCTCAGAATTATACTGAGTTGTGATCAAAACATACAATGAATGTATAAATTTAAAAAATTTATTACAGGAAGACACAGTATTAATCGCCCTCAAAATAGTCCCCCTTGATCCAAACGCACTTATCCCATCCTTCTTGCTACTGTCTGAAGCAGTGCTGGAAGTCCTCTTTAGCGAGGGTCTTTAGTGGCCTTGTCATGGCTGCCTCAAGGTCTTCAATCGATTCAAAACATTTACTTTTCCTGGTCACTTTGACTTTAGGGAAGAGCCAGATCTGGTCACATGGTATTAGATCCAGGGAACAAGGTGTATGAGGATATGCTGCCATGTTTTTATTTAACAGAAATAGCTATAAATGTTTTGAATCAATCCAGGATATTGAGGCAGCCATGAAAATACACTCACGAAAGAAGACTTCCAGAACTGCTTCAGGATGGGGCAAGAAGGATGGGACAAGTGTGTTAAAAGCAACCAATATTTGTGGCAATATGTCTTTTCAATTTTTTACATTTTATTGGTACATGGTCATTACATTCCTGGTGGGGAGTTGGCACATGTGCATAACGCACTTAATTCTTTTAGGGTAATAAATTTTTAATTTAAAAATTTACTTTATTTTTGGATCACACTTCATATTTTTAATACTCTCATCTTCTCATTGGGGATCCAGATACATACAGCCCATTTCCTATTTCCTACATCCAGTGCAATGTCTCCCAGCCACCATTTGGTCATGTTCATACTTATCACTTTTCCACTACAAACACTTCTTATCTTTCTTAATAAATGATATCACCAATCTACCCAGTTGCTCAAGCCAGAAACTTTGATTTTTTGAGGTTTTAACATTACTTATTTAAATGAATAATATTCTTGTCATTTACCTGTTAGGTAATCCATGGACCTTTCAGTCTGAACACGTCACATCTTTTTTTTCCATTATGGAAAAATTTTCTCTACTTTTACTATTTCTGTCTCTATTTCTTGTTCTCTATTATTCTAGATCTCTTTTTAGATAGATATTGAAATTTATAGATTTAACTGCATTTGTCTTGTCCCTTTCTGTTCATATTTATCAATTCTTGGCTCTTTGTGCCAGGTTTGAGAGAGTTCTCAACTTGATCTTTCAAATTCATTAATTGCCTGTGTCTTTTCTGTTACTTGTCCCATTAACTAAATTTTTATTGAATTGTCTTTTTATTTCTAGGATCTCAACTGATTCTTTTAAAATAATTGTCTTACAATAATAGCTTTCAGTATTCCTCCCCCAACTTCTCACTGAGACTATTATGTTGCTTCTAGGGTGTTTTACTTAATTGTTTCTTTTAATTTTGGTACCTTTATCTATAAAGTTTGGTTCTTGGGTCTACGTATATTACAATTTTTAGTAGGCATGTATCTTTTTTTAAAGTTGCCTACTTGCCTGTCCATTACTATCATTTCTGCCTGCCAAGGCCTGTCCCAGGGAGAGGCGGGAGGAATGGGGCATGTGGACAAGGATATTTGTACTTCCTTGAAGCACAGGCCCTGCCTGTTTTCCTTGGGTGTGTGTAGCTGCCTGGGTGTTTCCTCACCTCGTCTTTCCCAAGCCCACATTTCCTGTCTAAGTCTGTGGGGCCTGCATCTGCGATATGCTGCTCATCTCAGAGAAGGGTAATACTACACTATTAACCTGTCAGCTCTTAATGTATCTCTCTTAGCAATCTGGTTACTGTATTACTCTGCTTTCCATTGTTGTGACAAAATACCTGAGGAAAACAAATTAAAAGGAGGAAATATTTATTTTGACTCATTATTGCAGAGGTTTTAGTCTGTGTTTACTTGGTCCTATTACTATGGGCCTGTAGTGAGGCAGAACATCATGGCAGGAAGCACATGGCAGAGGAAAGCTGCTCAGCCCATGGTCAGTGGTAGAAATGAGGAGAAGGGGCGGGGTTTCAGTATACCCTTTGAAGGCATGCCTGTGGTGACCCACTTTCTCCACTTAGGCCACACCTCTTATAGTTTCCACCTGTTCCCAGTAGCCCATTGAGCTATGAATGCATCAATGATTTAATCAGTTCATCAATGCTCAGTGCCCTCAAGATGCAATCACCTCCCAAAGGCTCTATCTCTGAATATTGCTGCACTGGGAATCAAGCCTTTGAAACATACACTTTGGGGGAACATTTCAGATCCAAACTACAGCATTTACTATGGGGCCCTAGCTGCTCCTCATAATCCAGGCCATAACTTTTCCCATTTCTAACACCTCTGAGATTATTGCATACCCATAAGGTACAGTCTTCTCATGAACTGGCATTCAAATCTAGCCTATACCCCCCTACCCCTGCCATGACCTTAAAAATCTGTTCTTTGCCAGGGATTTCAGGAGGGAGGAACAGGCATATATCCTGGGACCTTAACTTAATCTATTATTTGATTCATGATTCTTGAACTTGTTTTTATTTCTAATGATCCTTTAAGTCTAAAAAGAATTAGTTCTATTTTGAAATCTTTCTGGTCTTCCTGGTTCTTTACACAAAGCTGAGATATCATTTTCCTTTTTTGTTTTTTTTAGCATTTTGGGACCCAAAACTGTTTACAGCTTATGATGTATTTCGTGTGAGTCTAATTACATCCGAGCTTATTGTACGGGAAGTAGAAACTCAACGGAATGGAGTCAAGGCTATATTTGATCTGGAAGGCTGGGAGTTTTCTCATGCTTTACAAATTACTCCATTTGTAGCCAAGAAGATTGCTGCTGTACTTACAGTAAGTATATATTTTAACTCTTAGGTATCATACTTCCAAATAATTTTAATTTTTGGTACATTTATTAGATACTTAAATAGAATTTTAGGAAAAAGTATAACAGAATAATGCCAATAGGAAGTAAGGTATAATTTAGAAAAGGGAAGTATTGTAACAAACTGAAATTAACTATCAGAATTTACATATTTAAATAATAATGTGTGACTTCATTTTCTTGTCATTAAAATTTTCTTCCTAAATTGAAAAACTGAATCAAAACTGAGACATTGATTCAATAAAATGTCACATAGTCTTGGTAGGTATAAACTGTTATGTTTTTCCCCCCAGAAATTAGATTTTTTAAAAGGCCATTATATTTGACTCAGTAATTCTACTTTTGGAAACCTAGTTAGAGAATAATCTTAACTATAGAATGGCTTTGTATACTATAATAATACTAACTTACTATGTCTCAGGTACTCTGCTAAGTATTTCAAATGCATTACCTCTTAATGGCTGTACTAGCCTACATGTATGACTATAATTTTTCCCACTTTACAAATTAATAGATTATGTCAGAGAGGTGGACATAGCAATGCCCAGGAATGCATCCTATCAGCAATGAAGTAAGGATTCCAGTACAGGTGACCTGAATGTAAAAATCATGTTTTTAATCACTACTCTTCCAATACATGAAAACAATTTTTGCAGCATCACTTTTAATAGAATTAAATTAGAAACAACTTATTTGTCTAGAAATAGAAAAATGGTTATGTAAATTATGGTATTTCATTTGATGAGCTTTTGCAGTAATATTAAAACTCATGATGATTAAAGAAATGGTATTTAATCAATAGAACACAACAGGATATAAATTATTTAGAAACCATATTAGCAATTCTGATTAAAAATTATACATAGAAAGAACCTGGAGAAAAAGTCTCAAGTTAATAAAAATGAGGCATGGGGGCTGGGGATTTAGCTCAGTGGCAGCGAGGTCCTGAGTTCTATCCCTGGTACACCCCACCCCCCAAAAAAGAGAGGCATGGAAAAAAATTTTGCATGAAAAAACCTGGAAAGAAAAAGTTTGTGTATTAACAACACAATTTGGATAGAGAAATTATTTGATGAGACTTTTTAAAAAAGAACTCTTTACTTTTTAAACTTTCTAAATAAGCTAATATTACTTATAAATATACTTTACTAATAAAACGTTTAAGAAGTTTGTATCTATTGGAAATTCTTTCAATTTTCGTGAAAGTTTACTTTTTTGGTCAAAAATAGTTTGGGTAAGGGCCGGGGATTTAGCTCAGTGGTTTCACCACCTTCTGTGCAAGCGCGAGGACCTGAGTTCGATCCCTGGTACCAAAAAAAAAAAAAAAAAAAGGTTTTGGCAGAAATGTGAAATTATACATGTTCAAAAAAAAAAAAAAAAAAAAAGGTTTTGGCAGAAATGTGAAATTATACATGTTCAAATTAAAGACCAATGTTAAGTGATTGTGGGAAGGAGTTTTTGGTGAAAATACGTATTTCTGTTTTTCTCCTCTGAAACACATAAAAAGTAGTATTTACTTTATTAATGCCTGCTTCTCATTCCTTTTTAAAGCCCCTTTTCTTTTCCCTCCTCCCCTCTCCATCCATTTCTCGATCCCTTTCCTGTTTCTATTGTACAGTTTGCAGCACATGTTTACATTCCTTGTGCGAAGTTGGTACACGTGCTTAACACATCTTAATTCTTTTTTTTTTAAAAGACCGAGAGAAACTTTTTGAAAGATCTTTTCTTCTTTTTTGGGTGGGGGGCAGGTTCTGGGGATTGAACTCAGGACCTTGAGCTTTCAAGGCAGGCGGCTGAACCACTGAGCTAAATCCCCAGCCTGGTCTTTTCTTAATATAGTGACAGTAAACTATAAGCCATGCTTTTGTGTTGATGGAATAAATAATTTTGAAAATAAAATCTTACTCTAGATATTGCTGCAAGTTTGGAAAGTGTTCAAGGAAGAAACTTAGTTTTATGAATGTAGTCGTAATATTCATTGATGTTTTATTATTAAGAAGATTTCTTTATTTTCAAAAGGATTCCTTTCCACTGAAAGTTCGTGGTATCCATTTGATAAATGAACCAGTAATTTTCCATGCTGTATTTTCCATGATTAAACCATTCCTGACTGAAAAAATTAAGGAAAGGGTAAGTGAAATACCTTGAAGTCACTATTCTTTGTGTGTGTGTGATTAGAATTTTATTTTGATTTGTATAATGATGAAATATATATGCTTTTAAGGCAAAATAGGTATCAAAAATATCAAAGGCAATTTATATCCTTCTCTTTTTTTTCATTGTTTATTGGTACATTTTAGGTGTAAAATACAGTTACATAGTTACATTCATCATTGGGATCTTGTACCCTTACACGAGTATCTTGGTTCTTGTTTCTTTCCCCTTCCCCTGCCCTCCCTTCACCCCCTCCACCCTTCC